ATGGATAGATGACTTGATTAGCTAGTTCGTCGCGTCTGTCCATCCCTGGAAGCATATGACCATATCTTATTGACCATCGGTCTGATTCTTTAAATGCTCGTTTATTCATTTTCTTGAGATAGAGTTCTGATAAACACATACTGCTTATAAGCCTAATGTTTTGGTTCATCAGTGAAGGTTTTCTTAATGTTGCAGGAGTTGTTCGACATAACATCCTTCCCAGCTAGGGATTTGCAGAGTTGGGTGAAGGCTCACACAAAGCGACCAGATTTCTTGAAGCTCATCCCAACATCACTCTTTAATCTGGTGGATAAGTGCCTGACAGTTAATCCGAGGCAAAGGATTACTGCAGAGGAAGCTCTAAAGCATGAGTTCTTCAACTCATGCCATGATCGGCTTCGGAAGCAGAGGATGCTCTTGCGAGGTTCTAGATTCAACTCCTCTGCTAATGTCTTGGGCGAACGCAAAGCGGTTCAATGACAGGTATTCGAGCTTTTTTTACAGATGAGTACAATTTTCAAGGCTTTGATATTGTTCATTGTTGTTTTGAAGCTGTATATGTCCTTGTAATGATATTGAATGTGTGTTCCATGTCATTATGTTGTTAACTTGTAACATAAAAAAATAATTAGAAGAAGGCATTAGGCAATATGTATATATACTTTTGAAGGAGTTAATCCCACAGCAACATGAGTTAAGCAAAGAGCTAGGCAGATATGAACTAACGTTTCAAGAAAGATATGAAGAAAATGTTGTTAAAATTATCAAAAGATATTTTAATTCATACCCACATTGAAAAAGAATCAAGCTTCATTGTGTGTGTTAGGATCAATATCAGTTGTTAGTTCTGATACTAATTGTTAGGATTGCTCAACAACACATACTCTATCAAGATGAAACAAAGAATAGGAGAGAGAAAATACGAGGAATATTGGCTAAAGGTTTTATTATTGATGATTTTAAGTATATACAACAAGATAGAATACACAAGATAGAATATAGAGAATTAAGAAAAGTACATTTTAGAGCAATGTGTAATGGGTATGCATTTTCAATTTAGTGTCAGATATAATCTAACAAATATATCTCTATCAAATGTTTGTCAAATATCTACCATAATATCTCTATCTTTTCTAAATACGATGGAAATAATATCTTCTAAATATATCTGGGACTATATATATATCTCTATCTTTTCTACATATGATCGAAATATTTTCTAAATATATCTTTATCAGATCTAGGCATCAGGCTCGGTAGATCTAGGCATCAGGCTTCATATCTCAACAGTATAGTCGTGAGAATATATATCTATATATCTTAACCATTTCACGTAGGGTGGATGGGAGCCTTGTACATGTACCAAAATCATGTTTTCTTGTTTAACCTTTGTAAAACAAAGAACATATAGAAAAGTGGGTTGGCATGTGGAGAAAGCATTAAGAAGCAAAAAGTTTAACAAAAAAAGGAAAGAAAAGTGAAAAGCCCAACGCCTTTCTTTTATGTTCTTCCTTTTCTTCTTCAACACACTCACCCAACATCTTTGCCCCCACATTCTTAGTTCTGCTTTGTTAATCAAACATCCCACTCTCATCCTCTCCTCTCTCCCTCTCTCCATAATTCAAATATAAAATAAAATAATTAAAGTTAAAATCTCGGTTCATAACCTCGAAAAAAGGACTAGCTCTGTGGGTTGGGCACAAGGGTTCGAGCCACGAATCCATCAACTGTTAGACTGTTCAAGTTGCTCCAATGGCAAGAACAGGTCGTTGCATGTCAATTCAAAGACGAAGAGATAATATCATAAACAAGAGATTATGGGCATTCCAATTTAACGATGGCTTTTAAAAATAAATAATTAATTAATTAAAAAAAAAAAAAGAGTATACTCTAAGAAATATATTTGCAAAAGTAATAAAATTTATAGAGAATAAAAATGAAAATAAGAACAGAAATCATTGGATGGGGAAATATAATGAAGACCCAAAGTATAAAGGAAGAAGAAGCACATGGGATGCTGGTAAACAATGAAAAATAAAACTAATAAATAATCGACAAAATTTTATATTTTCCCTCCTTAAATTTTAAAAAAATTAGAAATTATTTAATTTTGATGAAAATTGTGAGTAATTTTTTTAAAAAAAATTCGTGCTTAGAAAAATACTTTTATTATTAATATCACGTTTTACAAATATATATAAACTTTTAGGAGCAGTATTATTACTCATTTTTCTTTTATTATTTGAATTTCCTCTTAATCCCGTCTTTCCTTCCTTAATCTCTAGTACGTCATTTATTTTTTATTTCATCTTTTTCTTTTTGTGAGATCTACCATCGGTTGAAGAGAAAACGAAATATTTCTTATAAGAGGGTGAAAACCTCTCACTAATAGATGTGTTTTAAAATCGTGAGGCTAACAACGATATGTAATGGACAAAAGTAGACAATATCTACTAGCGACGGACTTGAACGGTTAATAGTATCACAAAATAATAATAATAATAATAATGAGGATTTTTACCCGCTATTTATTATTTGTTTATTATTATTATTATTTTTGGGTTAATGAAAAGGATGGTCCACTCCACACCCCCAATTAGACATTCCCAATAAAGTTGTTTTCTTGTTGCCTCTCCTTTGCGTGCCTTTAAGCAACTCTCTTATAATACTCACTTTTTCAGCTTCATTTCCATGTGCTTATGCCTTTTATTTTCCCCTTTCTCCTCCTCCTCCTCTCATAATCTCCCCTCCGGTCCCCTTTCGCTATGCGTTTTATTTCGTCCTCTTAACTAATGCAAAATTCAACGAACTTTTGTAATGATTGATTAAGCTTAGCTCACCTCGACCACTCTTTTAAATCCCAGTTAGGTTACATTTAGGTTTATAAGTTTTTCAAATCTGTATTCCGTTTCATTTCAATTTCTTGTCAGCTTTTTATTAAGACTTGCAACAACAATGGCTTTTTCGATGATCAGGAGCGTCTGTATGGTGACCCACACGTTAGCCTCCGAAAGACTTCAAATGGTGACTCACGTGTGGCATTAGGCTAAATTAACCCACGTAGGGTAGTCGACGAATAATGACACCAAATCAATTCACAATCTATAACAGCCCAAGCTCACCGCTTGTAGACATTGTCCGCTTTTGCCTATTATGTGTAGCTGTTAGCTTCACGGTTTTAAAACACATTTTGGGGAGAGGTTTCCACACCCTTATAAGGAATGTTTCGTTCCTCTATCCGATCAATGTGGGATCTCACACAATCTAATATCGAATAACGTCGGGCTTTTCTTCCATGATTTTTTATTTATTTCATCATTGTATACCTCTCCATTAGGATCGTGGGTTTATAATCAAATGATACTCTCTCCATTAGGATGAGGCCTTTTGGGGAAGCCTAAAGTAAAATCATGAGCATTTATGCTCAAAGTGTACAATATCATACCATTATGGAGAGTCGTGTTCGTCTAACAAAACCCACTTGAAAGTCAAACGGTTCACTCAAAGTGGACAATATCATACCATTATGGAGAGTCGTGTTCGTCTAACAAGACCCACTTGAAAGTCAAACGGTTCACTCAAAGTGGACAATATCATACCATTATGGAGAGTCGTGTTCGTCTAACAAGACCCACTTGAAAGTCAAACGGTTCACTCAAAGTGGACAATATCATACCATTATGGAGAGTCGTGTTCGTCTAACAAAACCCACTTGAAAGTCAAACGGTTCACTCAAAGTGGACAATATCATACCATTATGGAGAGTCGTGTCCGTCTAACAAGACCCACTTGAAAGTCAAACGGTTCACTCAAAGTGGACAATATCATACCATTATAAAGAGTCGTGTTCGTCTAACAAAACCCAACAAAACCCACTTGAAAGTCAAACAGTTCACGATCGGAAAAGGTATTTTAGAGAAAGGATATTAAATAAAATAAAAAAAATAAAGGGTATTTTAATTAAAAATATTACACGAGTCTAAATTCAACAAATCCAAATAATTTTGGAAAACTAGTACTCTACAATCTATTATTTTTATTATTATTAAATAATTTGTAAATAAATTTAAAGGGTAAAAAGGGAACCACGTAAAGAAATTTTAATTTATTTTATTTTTTGTTATTTTTTTAATGTAAAAGCTTTTAGATTTTTCTATAATTAATATATAATTTAATAGTAGCATTAGCCACGTACTCATCTTTATTAAAGTGAAAGGATAAATAATAATATTATTAAATTATTAAAAAGCAAAAATTAGGTGCATTCAATTAGAACCTTACTTAAGAGTTGAATTAGCCCCTTACTTATCTTCATTAAATAAACACCTAATTTTTTATTTTAATTTAATATTATTAGATTCGCATGGTTTGTTCACCTACACTTTTATTTCACCATTATACCCTTTTAATTATATAAATCCACCAATTAAATGGTTTTTTTTATTTAAATTATTTTTCTTTTATTATGTCTGGATGTCACATTATTTGATAAGCTAATTTTGACATAATTTTTAAATAATATAGCTAAGATGTCATAGAATTAATTATATATATTAATTACAAAAATAATTATAAGTTTAAAAAATCAACTTTTTTTTTAATAAAACAAAATTTTAATACAATTCAATATTTAATTAATTTATGGATATAAATTAATATAAAATTAAATAATGTACTAAATTTATTTAAATATTTTAATTAATTTTATTAAACAAAGTTTTTTATGCAACAAAATAAAATTAAGAATTTCATGTGCCTCCCCCACATGTTGCATACTAGAATGTCTAAAAGAATACTTTTTTATTATTATTATTATTATTTTTGTTCTTATCTTAAATTAATCTTATATTTTATATTAAAAATATAAAATTATTTAGAGAGACATGAATCTTAAATTTTGAAAACCACTTTATAAAAGGGTCAAAATTAGTTTTTTTATACAAAAAAATAAGTATTTAAAATGTTCTTATTTATTTCATGCACGTAATCCTTAAAATAAGAAAAGATTTTTATTTTTAATTTTTAATTTAATTTTCATTTGATTAAGATAAGAAAAGGGTGAAGAAATAAAAGAATATTCATTATTTCGAAGCATAGTAACTAATTGAATCCATCGTAATAATATAGTGTCTTCCAACTGGGATCTCTCTATCCAACTGTTTGGGATCTGCTTCTTTGGGACCACCGTCCTTCAATTGGGATCTCTCTATCCACCCTATTGGGGACCAGCGTTCTCCCCGTTGGATGATGAAAGTCCCACATCGGTTAATTTAGGGAATGATTTGGGCTTATAATCAAGAAATACTATATCCATTGGTGTGAGGCAAAACCATGAGCTCAAAGTGGACAATATCATACCATTGTGGAGAGTCGTGTTCATCTAACATGGTATCAAAGCCAAGCATCGGACGATGTGCCAGCTTTCTCACTATTCCCCGAAAGGGGGTAGACACGAAGCGGTATGCCCGTAAGAATGCTAGGCCCCGAAAGAGGGTAGATTTGGTGGCGGTCCTACATTGGTTGGAGGAAGGATGAGGCTTGTATTGGGCCCCGAAGGAGGGGTGGATTTTGATGTCAAACACCCTTAGACGCGTTTTAAAGCCTCGAGAGGAAGTCCGAAAGGGAAAAGGGTGTGAAAACCTTCCTCTAACAGACCCGTTTTAAAGCCTTGAGATGTATATATTTTATGCTAGTTAATTAATATTTAATGATGTAATAAATAAATAAAAAGTAACTTAAATAATTTTTTGAAAAAAATTGGGTTTCCATTTGTTTAATCTTGGAGAGTTGCTTCCAATTTTAAAACTCTTCCTCTCCCCCAACCAAATAAGAATAATAAGAATAATAAGAATAATAATAATAATAATAATAATAATAAAAATAAAAAAAATAAAAATAAAAAAGGTAGTAGCCTAAGCAAAGGTGCTTTTTGAAACGGCTGAAGAAGAGGAAGATAATAGAATTGGGAATCCATACACATTCTCATTACGAACAACCTCTCAACCAACTTCCATGGACTCTCAGTCTCAGATCTTGCTCCAGCCCTAGCCGCTTTCCAGGTTCCTATTCCTTTTCCTTTTTCTCTTCTTTGATTCTTCGTTTTTTGTTTTCTCTCCTTGGTATCCATCAACGCCCCATTCTCGCCGCCGTTTTTTCCTCCTTTGATTGTATCGTTTGTTGTTTCTGATTGCCGTGATTGTGCTCTATTGGTGTACTGCTTTCGGATCCTGTTTGCTTCTTTCTTTCCTTATGCATTTTGAGTCTTTTTTGCTTTATCATTGATTTCTGTGATTCTGGATTTTGTTTCTTCTCATGCTATAATTCTGATTGTGGTGGATGAATGTCCATTTCCAGAGGTTTTATTGTGTGGATAAGGTGTGGGAGCTTGCTGCGGTGCTGGTGATGGATGTGGTGGAGTGACGGACAGAGGAGGCGGGGTGAGGGAGATGGACGATAGAGGTGGTGGATCGTTTGTTGCTGTTAGGAGGATTTCTCAAGGTCTGGAACGAGGAAATACTTGTCACTCGACTTCAGGTGAATATTATCTTTAATGTCCGCCTCTTTCTCTCTCTCTCTCTCTACTGTTATTTACATTAAAATTAGAATTTTCGTCCTCGCTTTTCTTTCGCTGAAAAGTTTTCTCTCTTTTGCTCTCTCTCTTCTTCTTTTTTTTTTCTTTAATAAAAAAAAAAATCTTATTCATAATTCATGTTTTACTTTTTGGTTTAGAATTTTAGATCTATGTCTTGAAGTTGAGTAATGTGCGGTAAGCTCTGCTTATACTGAGGCTCGTACTGGTTTCATGATTGCTGAGTTTCAAATCTGTATCGGTGGGTCTATTCGGTGGGATTTTTTTTCTTATAAATTTAAAAGTTTAATTTAAGTTTTTTCAACTCCCTTCCGACTCTTCCTTCATCGTATGTATTATTTGTGATCTAGTACCGGAAGAAGTTTGTGATTTTGATATTCGTATTTTAAATATTTTTTTATTGCGTTGTACGTCGTCAACTGAAATTTGTGGAAGCTATAGATCTTTCTGGCAGAAATCATGAAGCTCATTAATTAACCACGTTTCTGTCTGATTAGATTATTATTTTCTCCGATGTACGGTTGATTGTTGGATGAACGTGATGGCAGGACTCAAGCTTGCCTTAGTTGCTTGACATAACTCAAATTCCTTTTTGTAGTTTGCGTGTTTTCTTCGTTGATGGCGTTGTCTCTACTGCATATTCTAATTATTGACTGTGCTATATAGTAAATATAAAATTTATTTTAATTTTCTTAGTGTGCCATATAGAATGTTGTTTTTTGCTTGTGGGAGAAATATTCTGCAATTACAATCGGTGTCTTTGGAATTAGTCAAGATCTCTCCCCACTTTTACTCAATACTTTCCCCTGTTTTTTAATTGACTGTTGTGTGAAGGGAGATATTCCCAAGTAATTGCATTCCATGTTCTAATCACGAGTAAGGAAGAAAAAGTGTAAGGATCATCAAATCTTCTTTGTGGTACATTAGTCCTCTCAGTATGTGTTATGTGCTGTTAATTGTTTTGCAAACTTGGGGGTTTTTTTCTAGCATAAACAGGCAAATAGCTCTCTCCACCTTATCATGTGTGTTAATATGACAATATTCTCTACTTTTCTTTTGTTTCCATTTTTAATTGTGCTTTGCTGCGGGAAACTATTTTCCTTATCTTTATCTAATATCTTTTCCATTTTAGGATCCTCATAGTCAGTTGTCAGAAACTTGTACTGGCTGCCCTTTCATGAATCATGACTTTTCATGGAACTTCTGAAAGACATTCTTTTACCATATATTCAAGCTCGGGTAACCATGAATTAGCTGGATAGCAAATAGCAAGGGGATTAAGTTCAATAGCATATGCTTGAACTTTTGCTTGTCTTATATTTTTATGATATACTTTCAAATGGCTGTCTACAGGATTAGAGGACTTCGTAATTGATAGATTGATTGCCGATGTGCTTTTGCTTTATTTCAGCTGAGGTTGTGGCAGGATCAGCTGCATGGCTTGGCCGGGGTCTTTCTTGCGTTTGTGCACAGAGAAGAGAAAGTGATGCACGTCCATCATTTGACTTAACTCCTGCACAGGTAACTTTATGCATTTGATGATTGTTAGCTTCAATTTCCATTGAACGGGAAGAAGCCTCATTATAACTATTATTTTGATTCGAAGTGTTTGGAAGCTGAGCAATAGATGGAGCTGAGCGATAGATGGGTGACTTGACTAAAACAAGGGAAGGTGATAGTTAAAAGTAATGTCTTGAAAGTGGAGATGAGAGGGTGATTCAGCTTAAACAAAGAAAGGTGAGCGTGACAGTGGAGAGGCAGATCTAGGATGAGGGAGGATGGGGGCGGATTGATAGTTGTAGGGAGATAATTTAGAGTGTAGAAATGTTGCTGAACTAAAAAAAAATTGATAATAGTTGAATGGTCGAGTGGTTCTATGAGTTGGAGATGAGCAATAGATGGGTGACTTGACTAAAACAAGGGAAGGTGATAGTTAAAAGTGAGGTCTTGAAAGTGGAGACGAGGTGAGTGTGTGACAGTGAGAGGCAGATCTAGGAAATGGGAGGATGGAGGCGGATCGGATGGTTGTATGGAGATCTAGAGAATAAAAATGAAGGGGAAAACTGGGGGGGGGGGGGG